AAGGGGGGAAACGAGAGGGAGAAAGAGAAACAGCTGGTTATTGTTCTCGCCTCTTGACTCTTTGCTGCTCCTCCTCCATGCTTCACGTCATGTATGCGGTCCTTTGCTCTCTCTCTCTCTCTCTCTCTCTCTCTCTCTCTCTCTCTCTCTCTCTCTCTCTCTTCTCTCTCTCTCTCTCTCCTCTCTCTCTCTCTCTCTCTCTTGAGTCGATTCAAAAGTCATCTGTGCACTTCTTATCTCCTCTGCGCTTTTCTCTTCCTCGGGAAATGACCCTTTTTAATCTCCACCTCTTGACCATCGCTCTTTGTTCCTCCTCCATACTTTCAATCATGTGTGCTCTCTTTTGAGTTGGTTTACAACTTATTCTGTGCACCCCTCTGATCTCGTCTGGCCTGCTGCTCTTAAAATTTTCTTGGAAGTTAGCCCTAATTTATCTCCACGCGTGTTTCCCTGCCTGTTTCCCCGTTTGCTGGTCCTGCTCAATGGGGGTGTGAGGGGAGTGGCGGATGGGGAGGTCGGAGCTGGATGTGGCGTGGGTTGGGGGGTGTGGGGTGGACGGTGTGTGGCTGGGTGGTGTGTGGGTGGGCGGCGTGGTGTGTGGTGTGTGGTGGTGAATGCAGATTATTGACAAGTGGGTTCAGTACTCGCAGGTACGACCACGCACACTCGTTCTCGTCTTCACCACGGTCGTTGCTCACACATGCACGCATGCACATCCCTCCCATGTCCGCTGTCCCCTGTCCCATGTCTTATTGAACCGGTCTGTCCCATATCCCATGTCCCATGTCACATGGCACACGGCATACAGGAGGAGTTTGAGGACATATTGGAAGAGCAGCAGGTATGCTCCACCCTACCACTCCCTGCCCACCTTTCTCCTCCCATCCCTCTCTTCCTCCTAGCTCCCCCGTCTTATTCCCGCCCCTCCCGTCCCCTCCCATCCCATCCCTCCCCTTCCAGCTGATTATTTCCCCACCTCTCTCCGCATTCTTCCCAACCCCACCTCGTTTCTCCTAGCCCCTCACAAATGCACTAAATCTCGTCGTTTGATTTCATTGCTCTCTCCTACCTACCTACCTACCTACCTACCTACCTACCTACCTACCTACCTACCTACCTACCTACCTACCTACCTACCTACCTACCTACCTACCTACCTACCAAGTCCGCTTATCCAGTGCTCCTCCCTGCCTCTGCCTCTCAGATCAACGCTGCATTCTCCCGTGCGGCCCGCTTGCAACAGAAGCTGCAAACTGAACTGCCTGCCAACAACCCTACAAAGGTACCAACCAACACCCCCTCGCCCTCCTCCTCCTCCTCCTCTCTCTCTCTCGCCCTCTTACACCTCCCCCGTCCCTCCCAATCCACTTACTCGCCCACTTCTCCCCTTTCACCCACATGCTCTCCCCTCTCCCTCGCCCTCAGTCAGTCCTCTTACTCACCCACTCCGTCCTCCTCCCTCCCCCCTTCCCCTTCTCCTAAGCTCCTTCCCCCGAGGCCCTCCTCTCCCTCTCCTGTTCCCCCCCTCTCTTATTTCTCGCCACATGCACGTGGAAACTCACGAGTCTGCCACTTGAATCCCATGCATCTCCCAAGCCTGCTATCCTCTCCTTCCTCTCACCCACCTTCCCGCCTTCCTCACTCACCCGCCCCCACTTCCCTTCTCCCTTGCCAATCCCGCCGTCCATGCAGGGAGGCAGCGGGGGTGCCGGGGGTGGTGGGACTGCGAGGGAGGTGGCGGCAGTGCATGTGGAGAGCAGCAGGCAGCAGGTGCAGGTGCTGAAGCAGGCCATTCAACTGGTGAGCACTCGCACCTCTCATGAGATGAGAGTCTTGATTTGAGTCATCTCGAATCTGTTTTGAGACGTCTCAAAACACTCCAGTTCAACTGGTGAGCACTCGCACCTCTCATGAGATGAGAGTCCTGATTTGAGTCATCTCGAATAGAATATCGCCTCAGAGCAGCAAGCAGCAGAGGACGTTATGAAGCAAAGTGGGAAGGGATGTTAGATGGAAAACGGTTTCTATGGGGAAAGGGAGGTTAGATGGAAAAAACGGTTTCTATGGGGAAAGGGAGGTTAGATGGAAAAACGGTTTCTATGGGGAAAGGGAGGTTAGATGGAAAAACGGTTTCTATGGGGAAAGGGAGGTTAGATGGAAAAACGGTTTCTATGGGGAAAGGGAGGTTAGATGGAAAAACGGTTTCTATGGGGAAAGGGAGGTTAGACTGAAAAACGGTTTCTATGGGGAAAGGGAGGTTAGATGGAAAAACGGTTTCTATGGGGAAAGGGAGGTTAGATGGAAAAACGGTTTCTATGGGGAAAGGGAGGTTAGTTGGAAAAACGGTTTCTATGGGAAAGGGAGGTTAGATGGAAAAACGGTTTCTATGGGGAAAGGGAGGTTAGATGGAAAAACGGTTTCTATGGGGAAAGGGAGGTTAGATGGAAAAACGGTTTCTATGGGGAAAGGGAGGTTAGATGGAAAAACGGTTTCTATGGGGAAAGGGAGGTTAGATTGAAAAACGGTTTCTATGGGGAAAGGGAGGTTAGATGGAAAAAACGGTTTCTATGGGGAAAGGGAGGTTAGATGGAAAAAACGGTTTCTATGGGGAAAGGGAGGTTAGTTGGAAAAAACGGTTTCTATGGGGAAAGGGAGGTTAGATGGAAAAAACGGTTTCTATGGGGAAAGGGAGGTTAGATGGAAAAAACGGTTTCTATGGGGAAAGGGAGGTTAGATGGAAAAAACGGTTTCTATGGGGAAAGGGAGGTTAGATGGAAAAACGGTTTCTATGGGAAAGGGAGGTTAGATGGAAAAACGGTTTCTATGGGGAAAGGGAGGTGAGAAGCTGTGTCTGCTGGTGAGCGACGCTGCTTGTGCTTTCTCCCCATCCCTCACATCTCCTGACCGTTTCGTGCCGTTGTTGTTGCATGGGCATGGGCATGGGCATGGGCGTGGGCGTGGGCATGGGCATGGGCATGGGCATGGGCGTGAATATGCGGTGGTTGCTTCACAGGTGGAGCAGGAGTTGCAGTCGCTAGGAGGCACCACACACGGCTCTCAGCCTGGAGGAGCTGCCAATGCCAACCAATGAGAGCCCTGCCAGCCCGCCACACGCACACCGATCCGTTACTCACTCACTTACTACCCCCTAACCCTAGTACACACAGGTACCCCCTAACCCTAGTACACACAGGCACCCCCTAACCCTAGTACACACAGGTACCCCCTAACCCTAGTACACCTACTACTACAGTAGCTCCATCTACTGCCCTGCCTGCCCTAGTTCATCTACAGTCTCTCATGCCCACCCACCCGCCCTCTAAGGCTGCATGGTCAACGTATCATTGAAGTGCAATAAGCGTCAGGGAATGCACAGAGGCTGTTTGACCTGCAGGCTGGGGGGCAGTGTAGCACCACGTTTGCAGCACTGATGGCCAGCCTTTTGCTTGGGAGTGGTTGGGTAGGGTGGTGTGGTGAGCTCTCAGACTCTCTTGGTAGTTGGGCAATGGCCAGTCTTTTATCCTGATTCTTGTGGGATTGGGTTGGATCCAGTGCCTGGAAGGTTTGTGTTGGTGCAGCTTGTGAGGAAGGGAGAATCCTTGTGCTTTTGCTGGTGCCTTTTCTGCCAGCTTTCGCTCTAGCAAAAGTGCTTTCTGTTTGCATTCCTGATTCAAACACAGCATATCTTCCGTAAGGATATATGTAGCGCATATACATAGATATTGGGCTGTTGGATATATTGTTTGGTTCGATGCATTGTGAGCTAGATGTGGGCCTGTTGTGTGCAAACATAGTTTTTCACTACAACTGGCTGTGCCCTAAGTTTCTTCCTACTAGTACCTTACTGCTGCTTGAGGCAAGCAGCTAACCATATCACACTCTGTTCTCGGTATTTTGCTGCTGCAAGGCTGGTCTTGCTGGGGCTGAGGGCTGCTTATCACTGCTGCTGCTGCTGCTGCTGCTCCTGCTGCTGCTGCTGCTCCTGCTGCTGCTACTGGTACAACCCTCCCCCACTTCCGTCCTCCCCTCCTTCTGGCACCGTAACTGTGGACTCCCCCTTAGCTGCTTCCACGTTATATTATTGCGCCGTCTCTGAAAGCTCTCCTCTCTTATTTTAGCAGCCCAGATGAAGGGTACAGAGGGCTGCCCACGCTGCTGCTGTTGCTGCTTATTTCTGTGCCGTTATCCCCACCAACCGTCCCCACGCTCTCACTTGTCCTGCCTCCACTGCTGCTCGTGCTGTTGCCGCTGCTGTTGCCCGCTGCAGGAGTGGGAGGAGGCTCAGGTCCTGCAATCTGCGCCTTGGCCGTTCTCTTCCTCTTGCGTTTCACATAATAAGTCGTGGGATTCGTGAGCCCTTGTTTGCAAACCTGGTATGCTGATAACGGGTCTGGCCCGTATCCTTTCTCGCAGAAGCATTTCACGGCCTGCGCGTTGGGGGGCCCGGAGGACCAGACGCAGAGGCCCGCTCCCCGCACTGCGTCTTCCCCGCGCGCAGGCTGCGCTCAGTGCGGCAGAACCCTGCGCACGTGTCCGCGGTGCGCTGCACCGCGCCCCCCTTGCAGCCCGCGGAGCCCGAGAAGCAATTGCCCCCGTACATCGCGCGCTTGCGCACGTCCGCGGAGGCGGAAGGACAGGCTGCCATGCTTCCGCCGCCGCCGCCACCGCTGGTGGTGTTCGTGCTTGCAGTCAGCTTGAACCGTGGCAGACCGTAAAAGAAATTATTCCTGAGATCCAGCGACCCGTATTCAGCGTCGAGCGGCATCGCGGGCAGCCCGGCAGTGGTGCCCGTGAAGAGGTTATTCGCGAGCGAAAACTGGCGAATGCTTCGCATGCCGTTGCGAAAGGACGTCGGAATCAACCCGCTGAGCCGGTTCCCCGCGACACTAAACCGCTTCAGCTGATTCAAATTCGCCAGGCTCCCGGGAAGAGACCCCTCGAGTAAATTCCCGTCGAGTAGGAGCAGCTGCAGCGCGCCGAGCTTGCCCAGTGCTGCGGGGATCTTTCCGCTGAGCCGGTTCCGCCCCAGGTCGAGATACTGGAGGGCGCGGAGGCGCGCGAATGCCTGCGAAATTGACCCGGTTAGCTGGTTGTTTCCTAGTTGGAGGGTTAGTAGGTTCGGTAGGAGCGCGAGTTGCGGCGGTATGGGTCCCCAGAGCGCGTTTTTGGAAAGGTCGAGGTAGTTTAGGGTGGTGAGGTTGGCGAGTTGTTTTGGGATGGTTCCGCGAAGGTTGGCGGACATGAGCATGATTTGCAGCACCTCGCCACGTGGAGAGCACGTGACGCCGTACCACATGTTGCAGGGCGTTTCCGCCTTCCAAGTGTTGGCGCCGTCGAAGCTGCCGCCCAGCGCGGACTTGACGGACAACATGACGGCTAGCTGGGACTTGACGATCGGCGGGTACTTCTGCGCGGCAGTATACCGCAATGGTTCGGCGAGGAGAAGGATGGAAAAGAGGAGGAGCATAGTGGAAAGAGTGGAGGGGATAGGAAGTGGGTGAAATTTGGAGGATTTCAGGGCAGGACTTGACGGAAGGTGTTGATAAGAGCCGCGATGATGAGATGTTCTGGAAGGCGACGAGGCTGGACGGAAGCAACGTAACGAAGGTGGAACAGTTCGGTCGGGAAACATGATGGCTGCTTCTTTCTTGTCTGGTGAGCTTCTCGTATCCTACTAGTTGTACTACGTGCTGATGGTGGTGGACTGCACTGGTAATATCACGTAGAGAGAAGTCTCAAGCTTCCGCGGGCCAGTCGGGAAATCACGTAGTTTCGGACATGAGTGTCACGTGAGGTTGAAAAGGGGACGAGTCTGGCTGGAAACAGAACTCCTTGTGGATGAGTGGGTGGGAAAGACGGTATTCGTGTCTATTCTAGCGCGTCTCGTCGAGGACAATCTTAAAATAGCCCATCATGCTGAGATGCTGTGGAGGTTGGCCGCCCGCTGGTCAAGTACAGCGCGCTAAAATGCGAGGTGTGCCGAGCCGAACCGAGTTACCTCAATTCCGTGGTGCTGTCTTCTGGGCGCGAGATAAGAGCCACTAAGAAATTCAATCCCCAAAATGCAGGCTACATCGTGGGGCCTCGAACACTTGACCATTTCCATGCTTGAGGTTCCAGCGCAACCCAGCTGAAAAGCAGGTAACCCAATTTAACCAGACCCAGCCCAGGGATACAAATGCTCTGCAAGCGTGTCTCGCGCGCGCGCGTCCAGATTTTCACTTTCCTGTGGTGGATCCGTTGCTGCAGCGAGCACACACAAGCGGGAGGGGGCAAGCATCACAATCCCCATTTTGAGCCAAGCACGCGCCAAATCGAAAGAGTGTGCGCGTCGCAATTGTACGACTGTCGCCAATGGTCAGAGCGGGCTGGCGAATACAAAGGACGAATTTACTACGGAGCGCGACACGTATGTGATCTGACAGCCTGAATGTATAAAACGTGATCTCACGAGAAAAAAAACTAACAAATATTCAGGATTAGCACAAGATCTTCTAGGTGTAGTCTTCAGGCATTGCACCAATGAAAGCGGCTTAGATATGCCCAAGTCTGACAGCCGCCTTCACCAATCAATGCCGTGAAGCTTCAAGTGTAATGATGAAGACTATGCCCAGTGTCATTTGTCATGAATACTACTAGGTTGTCAGCTCAAGGGACTGAGGGTCATATAGAGAAGCTTCACATGATTTCATCCACAGCATTGGCAGTGGATGCAGCAGCAGGCGGAGCAGCGGCATCAGCAGCAGGCAAAACAGTGAGAGGAGGCACTTGGGAGAGGACTCCATTGAGAGAAAGCGAGTCAAAGTGGAAGAGGTTGTTCATGGGCTGCCCTTTCCGCGAAATAGCCCTCACCACCTCCTGCTCACAAGAGCCCAGTGTAAGTGAGGACAGCAGCAGCAGGGAAAGCGTGACGTGATAAAGACCATGGCAGCATATTGTGTATGAGCGAGTGAGCGCAAGTGTGTGTACACACGCACATGTGTGCATGCGTGCGTGCTTGTCTATTGTGAATGCATACATTCGCATGCATGTGAGAAGGGGGAAGGGGATGCTGACACATGCTTCAGCTCCACAAAAGGCATTGGCGATGAGCAATCGGGGGATCCGGAGACCTTGAACACACACACAGTGATCATTGCCGGCTTCTCACCATGCACATGCACACACCTGAGCAGCGATTCCCCCCACAATGGCTGCGACAGCAGGGACCTCCGAGGGCCCCGCAGCAGCCATGAGGCGGATCAGACGCTTCACATGGGGCTCCTGCAGGCGATGGCACGCCTGGGCGGGGGGAAGGGGAGGGGAGGGGAGGGAGGAGTAGCCAGTGCAAGGAAAGGGGAGGTGAGGAGGAGGTGAAGGGGAGGTGAGGAAGAGGGGAGGGGAGGGAGGGGTGAAGAAGAAGGGAACAATAGGGGGCGGTGAAAGGGGTGAGGGGCAACTAGGGGGTAGGCGTAGTGGGGGGTTAGGAGTAGGGGGGTATGATTAGCGGTAGAGGGTAGTGGTAGGAGTAGGGGTAGGATAGCCAAGAAACGGTGGAGGGCACAGCTCATTAGAAGTTTACCACGTTTAGTTGAGGACACACGGCAAAAGCATGCAAGTTGCCAACACAAAGCAAGCAAGAGAGCGAGGAGGGGAGCGGAAGGTGGTGCAGTGCAGTGCAGGAGAGGAGACTTACGGGCGAGCCTTGGCCCTTGTCGTGTGCAAGCGCCAGCACCCCCTCCACACTCGCCTCGTCGTATGCCTGCCCCGCTGCCCGCTTCTCCCGCGCGTCATAGTCCTCCATGGCTGCCCGTGGGGAGTGCCATGCAGTGGGGCGGGGGGATTGCACATTGGGGGGGCAGGGGAATGGGTTTGGAGTCATCCCAGAAGTCGCTCCCCGCTTCTCCCGCGTCATTGTCCTCCATGGCTGCCCGTGGGGAGTGCCATGCAAGGGGGCGGGGTGATAACACATGAGGGGAACAGGGGAATGGGTTTGGAGTCATCCCAGAAGTCGCTGCCCGCTTCTCCCGCGTGTCATAGTCCTCCATCCATGGTTGCACGTGGCAGTGCCATGCAGAGATGCCACGCAGGAATGCCACGCGGGGTTGACTTTTGAGTCGACCCAAAAGTCAACTCCCGCACGTCATAGTCCTCCATCCATGGTTGAGCGTGGCAGTGCCGTGAAGGAATGCAACGCATGAATGAAACGCAGGTGTGCAATGCAAATGAGGAGGGCAGTGGGACGGAGATGGTAGAGAGGGAGGGTGGATGTGAGATGGTATGGCATGGCAACGGCATGGCGTTTCATGGCATGGCATCGCAGAGCACAGGAAGGAAAGGCATGAGATGAGACGATGTGTGACCAGCGTAGCTGTGCCACTCACTCTCACCTTGAAACGCAAAGTGAGATGGTGGGGTGTGCTTGGGTAGCTTGGACCATGGAGTTGACACCACCTCCTGATATCGTGCATGTCATAGCAGAGAGTAAGTGAAAGGAGTAGATGGGTTTGCTCGCAGGCCACAATAAGATATGCAAGGGAACGGGAGCCTAAGACTGCAAGAGAGCAAAAAGAAATGCAGCGCGGGAAGCGAGAGGAGCAGTGGATGGGCGAGCAATGGGAGAGGATGAGGATGAGGATGAGGATGAGGATGAGGATGAGGAGAAACACCTTGAGTGATGGGTATGAGATGTGCAGTGCAACGTGCTCGTCCTGCTTCTGGTACTGTTGGTGCCAGGCCGGGGCGGGCGGACAGAAGGGTAGGAGGGAGGGAGGCGAGTGGGGTAAGAGAGGCAGAGAGGGAGGCGAGCGAGGTCAGCATGATGTGTACTGTTGGTGCCACGCGGGCTCCGCACGCACTACCATGTTGAGTCGACTCAATAATCGACAAAGAAGTCAAGCATCAGCAAGCAGTCGCTGGGACACCCACCATGCAGTCGTGTTCGCAGAGGTCGGCAATGATCCGGCCGCACGGGCCCCGCACTGCCATGTAGAACAGGGCTGCTGGCGCCGGCTGCCTCGCTCTGCACGCCACATCGATGCGCTCCTGACCGCATGGATGGGTTGCAGGTAAATGGGGTTGATTGGGGGGAGGGGAGAGAAGGGGCACGGGCGCAGTTGAGGGGACGGTGGAGGGGAGGAGGGCTTGTGCGTTGGAGGGAAGAGGGGGCGCCCTGTTGGACTGGGACCTGGGTGCTTGCTGTGCCGTGGCGCAATCTCAGTGCCACCACATGATAATGCATGTTGCTTGCAAACGAGACACAGTGCACACCCAGGTGCCTCAAAGTCGACGCTGCGCTAGGTGCATTCAGATGATCAGTTCAGCTGCTCGTGGTGATGATCGCAGGTGAGTGAGTCACAGTACCTGCATGTGCTGGTCGCAGGATGTGAGGAGGACCGCGTCTATGTCGTCCATGGGTAGCCCTAGCGATGGCAGGGAGGATGCTGCCATGGCCTCCAAACTGCCTGCTCACATGCACATGCAGTTTGTGTGTGTATGCACGCATGCACGCATGCAGCCATAAACACAAGCACTCATGCACGCACGCAGACATGCAGACATGCATACGCACATGATGCACACGATGCGCGGACTCACACATGCACCCACAGGCAGTCATGCATGCATGACCATACAAGGTCGACAAAAGGAAACCAGAACACACATAAATGGCCGGAGCACAAATATACACGCTCACTCACAGTAGAGCACGGGCCCTTTCATTATCCACAGTCACCCATCCACCCCTGCACAAGCCCAGACTCACCAGGAACTGTTTTGACCGTCACAAACGGGTTGAACTCCTGTAGAGCTTTCGCACATGCCTGCGCCACTGACATGCCATCCCTCTCTCTCCCCTCCCCATCGCCTCCTTCTCCTCCTCCCGCTGCTGTTGCCCCTGATCCTGCCGCTGATGCTTCTCCTCCTGCTGCCACAGCTGCTGCTGCGGCTGCTGCTGCTGCGGAGCAGCTGAGGCGAAGCGGAGGAGGAAGTTACCGTCCATTTCAGCTTGCGTGGGGGGCAGACCAGGGTCCAGGAGAGTGAGTGAGCCCACGCCGGCCAGAACCAGGTTCTTGCATGTCTGGGGCGGGATGGTAAACGCCAGTTGGAGAGAACATAAGGAGGGAGGCAGGACTTTTGAGGCGCCTTAGAAGTCCAGGAGGGTGAGTGAGCCCACGTCGGCCAGAACCAGGTTCTTGCATGTCTGGGAGACGGGATGGTAGATGCTAGTTGGAAAGAACATTGGGCAGGAGGCAGAGCGAACGAGAGGAAGACAGGGATGGAGGGACGCCGGAAGGAGGGACGAGGGGGGAAGGGATGGAGGGTGGGAGGGAAGAGGGAGGACGGAGGAGGTTGGGAGGAAGGTGGTTTGGAGGAAGGAGCAGAAAATGAGAATGACAGGTTGGGTGTGCGGGAAGCGGATAACGGAATAATCAGCATAACAGGGAGGGAAGAATGACGTTAGTGTATTATTGTTCTTTCCTCTCTTTCATTCTCTCCCACTCCACCTCTCCCTCCTAACCCTCTGCCGTTACGATTGATGCCCCACTTTCTTACGAATCAGTTCCTCTTTCTGAGTCCCCCCCTCAACTCACCTCCGCCATCACTGCAGACATGCCGATCACCAGCAGCCGAGCAGAGCCGATCCTGTGGCGAGACAGGGGAGGAAGGGAGGGCGGAAGGAGGGAGAGAGGGTGAGTGTGAGAGAGAATGAAGAATGGGTTGCGTGAATCAGCCAGCCCAAGATGCATCAATGCATACTCATGACACCATTCGAGCACGAAACGCTAAGCGTGTTCCAAGTTGCCATCGACTCGTCGTCGACTCAAACCAAAGACGAGACTAAACACACGCTCATCCGAGCACTTGAAAACCCGGCGCTACTAGCAGACGCAGGATCTCGCTCGGGAGAAAACAAAAGCAGGCGAGAAGCGAGCAGTATGAGCCGCACCTCTGCTGGGCCTCCACACCCCACATCCGGATCTGCCGGTCGTACACCGCTGCTTCCTGCTCCGACAACATGATGCGCTAACGCTCTGTGAATGGCAACCCCTGGGATTGAGAGATGTGAATTTGTAGTTCCTGGAAGTGCAGGTTAGGGATTGTGGGCCTAGAAGATCGCTTGCACCGGTGCACAGCTCCTTGGGATTAGCTGCAGGTTCTGAGACTCGGTGCGCGCAGCCACGGCAGGCAGATCAAAGTTTCGACGGGACGGCGTCCGCCGCTCCGAACAAACTAGTTTTCGAGTGTTATCGAAGGGTGTGGAGCGAATCGTGAAAATAGCCGCCACCATTGCAATCCACTATTGGTGGTTATGCCTGACAATTCAATTCACATGGTTTCTGTAAAGCTTGTCATAATTTGACGCAAGCAGCGGTTGGTTTACAGCTGTTGAAAAAGCGAGCATTACAATATTGCAATTGCCGGAAAATGAAGAGCATGACGCCTAGTTCAGATCTAACTGTAGTGTAAGGAAGCCTAGAACTTGACCCTGTACGCTCATGTCCACGCCATACTTTCCGCAAACAATGGCAGCACCATGCCACTGTACTGAAAACCAGAAACCTGCAATATCACCCAGTCTTCTGCAGCAGCTCTGCACAAATCCATCTGGCAACTCTTCCTAGCATGAGCATGTGGCCGCAGCCACCTTGTCTGCTGCGCTCTGACTCGAGGCTGAAGTGAGCTTGACATCCACCAAGTCCTCTTGCTGCTTTGTGGCTGACAGTGCCTCCATGCCTGGCAAAGCTGCTGCTATCTTACGAAACAGGGCCTGATGTAAGAGGACAAGGGGAAACGATGCAAAGCAGTAGACAATGAGGGCAATGAGATGGAAGGAGAACAGGAACAAACTAGTTTTCGAGTGTTATCGAAGGGTGTGGAGCGAATCGTGAAAATAGCCGCCACCATTGCAATCCACTATTGGTGGTTATGCCTGACAATTCAATTCACATGGTTTCTGTAAAGCTTGTCATAATTTGACGCAAGCAGCGGTTGGTTTACAGCTGTTGAAAAAGCGAGCATTACAATATTGCAATTGCCGGAAAATGAAGAGCATGACGCCTAGTTCAGATCTAACTGTAGTGTAAGGAAGCCTAGAACTTGACCCTGTACGCTCATGTCCACGCCATACTTTCCGCAAACAATGGCAGCACCATGCCACTGTACTGAAAACCAGAAACCTGCAATATCACCCAGTCTTCTGCAGCAGCTCTGCACAAATCCATCTGGCAACTCTTCCTAGCATGAGCATGTGGCCGCAGCCACCTTGTCTGCTGCGCTCTGACTCGAGGCTGAAGTGAGCTTGACATCCACCAAGTCCTCTTGCTGCTTTGTGGCTGACAGTGCCTCCATGCCTGGCAAAGCTGCTGCTATCTTACGAAACAGGGCCTGATGTAAGAGGACAAGGGGAAACGATGCAAAGCAGTAGACAATGAGGGCAATGAGATGGAAGGAGAACAGGAAGTGGAAATAAAAAAGGATGATGGTCATGCATAGGAAAGGGAAAGCAAAAAAGTCGAGCTCAAAGAGAGGAAATGGAGAGGAGGGCGGAAATAGAGGGTTTAACGATTGGACGTTTGAAAATTCAAGTCAATAGAATTGGCTCCTATATTACCTTGATGTTAAAGCCGGCCTTTGCACTGGTCTCAATGAACATGACATTCAAATCACGCGCCTTGGCTTCTCCCTCCTCAATAGACACTTGTCTGCCATATAATATACACAACTTTGAGACAAAGAATGAGAGCTACGCGGAGAAACTTCAAAGAAGCGTGAAAACAATTTTGTTCAGAAAAGGTGTTAAAAACACAGAGAAACGCAGGTCAGCCCGCTTAACAATCGTACCTCTTATCAACAAGATCTGTCTTATTCCCGACCTGCGAGGACCGAAACAAGCAAGTTGACACCAATCAGGTAAGCCATGGACATGGTAGCACGTGCACCTCGAACCAAAAGAAATGCGGATCACGCAAAGGAAGGATTCAATGCAGACTGTTGGACAGCTTCTGCTAACCACAACCTTGCGCTCTTCTTTATCTGTTTTGATTGCTTGTGTATAACGTGTCGACACGGGTTTTCGACAGACGCAGATGCGTACGAAAGGCGAAAAATGTGGAAAAGGTGCACTTACCAGCATGATAATGACGTCACTACCCCGCTCTGTGCGAACCTCTTCCACCCACCGAGCTGTGTTCAGGAATGAAGCGCGATCTGCAGTAAGCAGTAAAACACAGACAACGTCACTGAACTTGCTCGTGATCCGCCAGGACGAGCAAGAAGTAAAGAACTATACAGCAAACTCCTTACTTGTCACATCATAGACGACAACCGCGACAGAAGAATCGCGAATGTAGCTGGGAATTAGACTGCGAAACCTCTCTTGCCCTGCGGTATCCCTGCAAACGCGAACAAAAAGGTTAAGTGAACAGAGAGGATAATTACAGCTGAACAGCGACGCTGAAATCGACAGTGAAGCAAGTTCAATCTACATACCATAGCTGCAACCGCACCGTCCGGTCTTCAAGGTACATCGTCTTGGACAAGAAGTCGATTCCAATAGTGGCCTGTCATTGACATAAAATATGAACCATCTCGGTCATACAGCACGAGCAGAACATCTAGCCCACTAAAACAACCGACCCAGTAGCCGGAAATCAACGACAAATCTATGTCTAAATTCACGCAAAGCGCTTTACTAGCACAAATAGTTTTACACGCAACGTTTATTCCTTGCTTTCCTTGCGTGTCATTTAACACCCCAAATCTACGTTCTTTAGGACTTCAGACGGTGGTCAATATTGACCTCCGAAGTTGTTTTTTGGTGACTCTAACGTACAAATGAACACTCGCTCACCTGATACGTGTTATCGAACTTGTCGTACATAAAACGTGTAATGATGCTTGTTTTCCCAACGGACTGATCTCCAAGAAACACTAGCTTGTACTTCGCCAACGGCGAAACGGCTGCCGCGGCTCCCCCACCTGATGCCATTTCTCAAGCTGTGACAATTACGACACCGAAACTAACGGAAGAAAACGACGGTGACCTCGAAGAGATAGCAGGAAAATCCCCCTGAGACAGCTGCTGGGGAACAGCTACACTGTGCAACCAGACTCTTGAATTTGGCCTCTAATAGGAGGATCAGGACCTAGAAGTCTGGAGATGGACATGCAAAAAAGTTCCAGCAGATCTGAAGTGAAGGCTCGCTCGCTTGGAGGGGATGGGCTGTGTGGGACTGGGAGATGTTGAGCTCACGATTCTAAACGAAAAGAAACGATTTGTTCTGACGGACGACAGGGTTACTGGCACGAGAAGATGCCAGCCGGGCGGGATATAGGAAGGGAGGGGAGGAGTCGCATCGTCGTAGGTTGACGGAAGCTTCTCCCGACTGGACAAACCGTTGAAGGCGGGAGTCCGGTGCGACAGGAGCTGCGTTCAGTATTGTACTGACTAGGGTCGCACAGACCAAGGGGAGGGAGGGAGGTAACCCAAGGCTACCTCCAGAGGGGGAATTGAAGGGGGGCTGGTTTGAGACCCTTCTGAGCGAGCGGTGAGCGAACGGTGATGGCTTTCGGAGCTTCTTGATTGGTCGGTTTGGGTGGTCGTCGAACTTCTACTTCCGAAGCCTAGGGAAGAGTCGACTTGTGTCGGGCCCTCTGCGATTGTAAATAGCGACTAAACGCAAACCGCTGCCGCATTCTCACTGCAATTGAAAAACAAAGTGTAGGTACATATTATTCATCTAAACCAGTATACGCATAAACAATATAAATCGTACACAACACTTCACCTAATCCGAAATTGTGTTTCAGTCGTACTAAGTTCCTGATCTCATACCGTTAAAACAGTACACATCACAAAAAAAAAAACATATTTTCCGTTTAGAAGTGGATATGGCGACGTTGGTGATCGCCATAGTGCGGCCCACGTATGGCCGTCGGGCCATAGTGAGGTGGCGGCAAGTTGAGTTGTTGGTTGTTGTGTCCTCTTTCCCTTGCGCCCAATGTCTGCCGCCCAATAGCAGAGTATTCTCCTGGTCCATAGTCAGCCATGGCAGCTTGAACAGGGATCCCAAGAGCCATACCAGGGAAATGCTCATATGGACTTAAGTGGCTCATGTGCCCCGCAGCAAGTGACGCATGCCCATGGTGGGGGGTGGAGTGGGGAGGAAGAGCGGAAGTGTGATGAAACACCTGAAACGGCAGCTGATGTTGATGAAGCATGCTGGAGAGATGAGGATTAGGAACAGGAACAGGAGGAGGAGGAGGATGGGGGGTATGAGCGGGAACAGAAGCAACAGAAGGAACAGACGGAGAAGGATGCCAGCTATGACCTGGGTAGAAATCCATTCTGGGGTGAAATGAAGGCGGGACTGGGAGAGGGGTCCCATGCAGAGCATTGGAGGACAACCCGTGGTTATGTGGCTGCATCACATGCGCCCTGATATCATGGCTCGCTGCCATGGCCCGCTCGGCTGCTGTTGATGCTGATGCTGCTGCAGGCACTGATGGTGCTGATGCTGATGGTGCTGCAGCTGTCACTGCCACTGATGGTGGTGCTGCCGATGGTGATGGTGCTGCTGATGGTGATGGTGCTGCTGACGGTGCTGCTGATGGTGATGGTGCTGCTGATGGTGATGGTGCTGCTGGTGTCGCTGTCACTGATGGTGCTGATGGTGTTGCCGCCACACCTGCTGTTACCACTGCTGCTGCTCCTGCTGCTCTCCCATCACACTCCCCTAACACCTGTCCTCTTCTCTTCTTCCCTGTACCCGCATCTCTCACCCTCGCCCCATCCTGCAGGTCACTGCTACCACAAACCCTAGCTACTCCCTCATCACCTGCTCCCTCATCCACCTGCTCCTTGCCCTTCCTTCTCTTCCTTCTCTTTCCCCCTCCACCGGCCCTTGTCCCCCTCTAGTCTGCTTCACAGCAGCATCACCACACACTCCTTCCGCACTCAAACGCTTCTTGCTTCTCTTCCCTACCACCACCTCCACATGTCCCTTTCCTCCTACAGCATCCTCCTCCCTACTCGCAACCATCCCTTCTCCTGCCCGTACTTCCCCTTTCCTTCTGTCCTTTTCTCTCCTCTTCCTCTTCGCCTCCTCCTTCCTGGTCCGTGCTTCCTCTGACCCCTTGCCACTTCGCCACACCTCATCATTCCTGAGCTTCTGATTTCCAGTTTCTTCCTCTTCCTGCTTCTCTCCTCCCCTTCTTTCTTTTCTTTCTCCTCCTCCTCTCCTCCCTCCTCCTCCTCCTCGTCCTCCTCCTCCTCCTCCTCCTCCTCCTCCTCCTCCTCCTCCTCTCCTCCTCCTCCCTCCTCCTCCTCCGCCTCCTCCCCCCCCCCCTCCTCCTTTCTCCGTACCTTCTTGCTATGCTTCTGTTTCTTACCCTGCACATTTTCCTCCTCTTCACTGCTCCCTCCTTGTTTCTTGCGACCCTTTTACTCTTTGAACGTGACTTAACCACCTCTGCCTCTGCCTCTTCTCATTCGATCCTCCCCTTCCTCCTCCTCCTCCTCCTCCGCCTCCTCCTCCTCCTCCTCCTCCTCCTCCTCCTCCTCCTCCTCCTCCTCCTCCTCCTCCTCCTCCTCCTCCTTCTCCTCCTCCTCCTCCTCCTCCTCCTTACTCCGCACCTTCTTTCTATGCTTCTGTTTCTTACCCTGCACATTTTCCTCCTCTTCACTGCTTCCTCCTTGTTTCTTGCGACCCTTTTTACTCTTTGAACGTGACTTAACCACCTCTTCCTCTTCCTCTTTCTCTTGGTCGTCCTCCCCTTCTTCTTTCTCTTCCTCCTCTTCCTCCTCCTCCTCCTCCTCCTCCTCCTCCTCCTCCTCCTCCTCCTCCTCCTCTCCCTCCTCCTCCTCCTCCTCCTCCTCCTCCTCCTCCTCCTCTTCCTCGTCTCCTTTCTCCGCACCTTCTTTCTATGCTTCTGTTTCTTACCCTGCACATTTTCCTCCTCTTCACTGCTCCCTCCTTGTTTCTTGCGACCCTTTTACTCTTTGAACGTGACTTCACCTCTGCTCTTCCTCTTCCTCTTCCTCTTTCTCTTGGTCGTCTCCCTTCTTCTTCCTCTCCTCCTCCTCCTCCTCCGCTCCCTCCTCCTCCTCCGCCTCCCTCCTCCTCCTCCTCCTCCTCCTCCTCCTCCTCCTCCTCCTCCTCCTCCTCCTCCTCCTCCTCCTCCTCCTTCTCCTCCTCCTCCTCCTCCTCCTCCTTACTCCGCACCTTCTTTCTATACTTCTGTTTCTTACCCTGCACATTTTCCTCCTCTTCACTGCTTCCTCCTTGTTTCTTGCGACCCTTTTTACTCTTGAACGTGACTTAACCACCTCTTCCTCTTCCTCTTTCTCTTGGTCGTCCTCCCCTTCTTCTTCCTCTTCTCCTCCTCCTCCTCCTCCTCCTCCTCCTCCTCCTCCTCCTCCTCCTCCTCCTCCTCCTCTTCCTCCTCCTCCTTCTCTTTCCCCTCCTCCTTACTTCTCACCTTCCTTCTCTTCTTCAGTTTCTTCCTCTGCCCAATCCGGACTACGTTCAGTACTTTACGAGCCAAGCCACCTTCCTTCTCTTCCTCCTCCTCTTCCTCCTCTTTCTCGTCCTCCTCCTCCTCTTCCTCCTCTTTCTCGTCCTCCTCCTCCTCTTCCTCCTCTTTCTCGTCCTCCTCCTCCTCGTCCTCATCAGGAAAAGCTAACCCCGACACAACAATGCTACCAGCGTTAAACGGCCCTGGCAAGGGTATGGCAGCAGCAGCAACAGCAGCAGCAGCAGCATCAGCAGCATTGGCAGCATTGGCAGCATTGGCAGCATTGGCAGCATTGGCAGCATTGGCAGCGGCATCGTCTCCAAGTCCTGCAGCGTCGTCCTTGGGTACCAGCTCCAAACTCTTTGCACCCTCTGCTCTCCTGGTTGTCCCCAGAAATTCATCCTCACTCTCACTCTCACTCTCACTCTCACTCTCACTGCTTTCCCCATTGCTGTCACTGCTGTCTTCTTCCTCCTCATCCTCTTCCACTTGATCCGTTCTCTTACCTTCCTCGTCGCCCTCTGCTCCGCCTAACTCCTCATTCTCCAATCCCTCTGCTCTCTCATTTCTCTTCTCTCCCTTCTCTCCCTGCGTACCCCGCCCATGCACGTCGCCCATCATCCCATCCTCCCACAACGCCCCTCCCCCTGACCCATCTCCTGCCCCAATCCCACTACCACCACCCACTCCGCTCCCCCCACCCATGTCAACCCCCCCAACTGCACCATCCCAATCACCACCACCAACACCCATCTCCCCCATTCCGCCCTCCTCTTGCCATCCCGCCCTCCCCTCTCCACCCGCCCCCTCCCACCTTCCACTACCTACCTCTCCACCTCCTCCCCTCCTTGCACCACACTCTCTCCCTCTTCCCTCATCCCCCTTCCCTCCTCTCTCCCCCTTCCCTCCTCTCTCCCCATTCCCCCCTCTTCTCCTCCCCGTGCCTCCTCTCCTCGCTTGAGGCACCTCAAAAAGCATATCCCTCACCACGTCCACTGGTGGAGATGTCAAATAGTCCACGGCCACGTTTTGAGTCGACTCAAAACATGTCAAATAGTCCAAGGTCACGCGCAGCTCACGGGCCATGGCAAGCAGAGACCTGCCATCCTCGCCCTCTCGCATCTTATCCACCACCTGTCGGCTCACCGCGCAGTGCACCCGCTCATCGCACCCCACCACCATCCACGACCTTTTCTCTTCTTCCTCCTCCTCTTCCACCCACACCACATTCCCCACATCGTCGCCATGTGTTGCTTGCACTGCTGCTGCCGCTGCAGCTCCTCCTCTCTCTCCTCCTCTCTCTCCTCCTCTCTCTCCTCCTCTCTCTCCTCCCCCTCCCCCTCCTCTTCCCACACCTCCTTCTCCCCATTGCCGCTTCCTCCTTCCCCTCTGCACCATCCGGCTGTGATCACTCTCACTATCAAACTCCTCCTCTTCCTCCTCTCCACCACCCCCCTCCTCCTCACCCTCCTCTTCCCTCTCCCCATCCACTTCCTCTTCCTCCTCCTCATCCCCCTCATTATCCTCGTCACCATCATCATCACCACCACCTGCCGCACCCGCACCACCTCCCTGACCAGGTAGCCTCAGCAGCAGGTATCGAAGCTCTGGCTCCGGTACCTTGTCATCCGTGCCCGTCTCCGCTTGCTTTTGAGTCGACTCTGAGTCAGGCTCGCCCTTGCCACCCTTGCCCGAGTCCGAGTCCGCTCGCTTTCGAGTCGACCCAGAAGCAGGTTCACATTCACCATTGTCAACCTTGCTCTTGACAGACTTGCTCTTGTCACCCTTGCCCTTGTAAACCTTGCTCTTGACGCCATTGCCCAGCTCCACTCGCACCACGTGGTACAGGCCCGCATACAAGAACTTACATTTTGCTTCCTCTGCATCCCCCGCTGCACTAGGCGCCACAGCAGCAGCACCTACGGATCTGCTCATTCGGGCCCTTGTGCTGCGCAGCTGCCATTGCTGCTGCTTCTGCTGCAGAAGTCTGGAGCTACCGCCTGATACCGGGTGCGGTGCGTTCACTGATCGCCCCTGCCACTCCCCCTCCAGCACCACCCGCACAGGCAGCCCGGCAATGGCACTGTGCAGCAGACTCGTGTTATACTTGAGATTCATCTGATTCCCACACTCCTTTACGTCCCAGCTTGTCCCAGGGATTTTATCCATAACGCACCATACGCAGCAGCAGCATCAGCAGCATCAGCAGCAGCGCTCGCATCCTCTTCCCTGCCGTTGCTATCCTTCTCGTCCTCTGCTTCCTTGCTCTCCTCCCCCTCGTCCTTATCTCCCTCTCGTGACTTGCGCTTCCTTGCCTTGCTCCTACTCGTGCTCCATTGCTGCTGCTGTGTCTTCAGCTGCCGCTCCTTCACCTGCTTCTGTTCCTGCTGCCCCGTTGATCTCTTACCCCATTTCTGCCCGCCCCAGGAAAGGTCATCACCATCACCAACACCAACACCAACACCAACACCAACACCAACACCAACACCCACCACCCCACC